GTTTTGCTTGAAGTGAAAACAAGAGCAGACTGAGTCAGGCGGATGGAGTTAGTGCTTTATTATCACCGTAAAGCCTTTTTTCGTTAATCATGACACGGGAACATCAATCACTGAAACATATTTACAGCTCAACATCAGCGATCCTGTCGTGTTTACTTCGTCTGTAAAGTGCAGCTCTGTCAACACGAGCCTTTCACTTGGTTACAGCAAAAACAAGAAAGCAATATCTCACCCCCCACGTGTCCCAAAAAACTAAAATAAAAATAAAATCATCTTCAGTAACTGTTGATTTCGGCTTTTTAGAAACATCTCCACTACTTTAACCTCCCACAAACGAAGAGGTGTGTCTGTGGCCTCTTTCATCCCTACATGAAGAAAATGAAACTTAAATGAGTGAATCACTCTGGAAATGAAATGCAAGTTAATGAATAAATGTGCGATGAACATAAAAGGCCCCAACGTATGCATGCCTGGTAAATATTAAGACATTAGAAGAAACAGACTCAGCAGGCAATGTGAAAGAAGATGGAGTCTGTTTTTTATGACACACAGGTGGTTATTGGTTTTTCAACACTGTATCAGAGGAGCTTAAAGTCTAGTGTTTTTCTTTTATGAAAACAGAAAGCCATGTTCTCCTTTCAGTTTGAGGGAACTTGAGGGAAATTTGTGCTTTTCTCCCTTTTATTTATTTATTTATTTATTTATTTATTTAAACAGACCTCCAACTTTGCAAATGTCAGACCAGCAATTCACACCCGGAACGGCCCCGAGAGAGGAGAGAAAAGCATCTTTGGCTCACTGACGTGGCCTTAAATCTTCACGGTTAATTGGTACGAGAGCTTATTAACAAGTGTTACTGTCATGCAAACTCTGCTTTCATTTACATGGGCTCCGACCCTTACAGCACGCTAACACACACATACAAACACTGCATACGAACAGCTTGAAATGCTGGAATACTGGACTGATTATGGCATGATATGGCTTCACTAATAAATATGGAAGAAAAAAAAAGTCAAATTCAGAATTTTTCCAAGTCTGGTTTAAATAGATTTTTTTTTCTGGTTTAAATAGATTTTTTTTTCTGGTTTAAATCAAATTTTCATATTTATGTTCATACTGGTTGTGTTTTTGCTGTAAAATCTGTACAAAATTACACTCCAATATTTAACACGAGCAAATACGAGGCTCCTGCATTTTAAGATTCAAATGGGCATCATCCAAAGATGAAGTCTTTTTAGTGCACAAAACACATTTAATCATGCTGCTGAGGACTGTGGATTTAGCACTTCCTCTATCTTAAGCAGATACCTTTAGTAACCAGTATGATGAGTTCATGTGGCCGTGTTAACGTCATCGAGTCACCATGTAAAATTAGCTCCCAGCTGACTTCCTCACACTCAGCTGATTTTTTTTTTAAGTTAAAATAACTTCTTCATATTTAATCAAGCCATGAAAATTTTTACCTTCATTCTACAGACCCTTACAGACCCTTTAAGTAAACTGAAATTTGTGGCTTCTTTAATTAGTCCAAGACCAAGACTTATTTTTCCTTTAATATTGGCACCTGAAAGTTGATGAAGTGGACCTTAGATCCATCTGGAGCTCAGCTTTGAACCAAAAGGAACAAAAGTAAAGTTGTATTCATGATAAGTAAAACGACAGGTGTAATTTAAGTGGTCTAAATTTTCTCAGCAGGTAACAATCACAACATAGGTCTCTCATGTCAGGGAGTCAAATCCAAAGGTGTCTGAATACAAAACCTAAAAAAACAAAACAACAACAAAACAAACAAAACCCCCACCATCCTTCAAACTTTCAACCATCAAATATAAGCACAAAGTGAGCGCAGGTAGTTGAAAGTATGCTGACTTTTTATCTTTAAAAGGCAGTGGTCAAGTCAAACGTACACGTTTTTCTTCTATCCTGCAGTGCCATTTATCAAATAGATCATTTTGGTGTATAATCCGTCATTTCTTGAATATAATGTAACTAATGTGAACTCACTTTGTGGTGCTCAAAGCAGCAATCTTCACTGTCAGCGAGCAAAGACCAAATCATGCAAAGACAAGAAAGTCTGAAAACTTACAGGATGAATTTTTCCCTTTGAACCTTTCATTCAGCCGCTGCTTTCAGGTACTATCAGTAAAAGCTCAAGCACACTTAAGGCCAAATATTTTTCATTTTTTCATTTGGTCTATACCAGGGGTGTCAAACATATAATCTAAGGGGCTAAATCAGCCCACTGGATGGCTTACGAAATTTGAATTTTTAATCAGGAGGTTTTGAGTTACACATCTCTAAAGGTAATCTATTATTATTATTATCTATTATCTGCTATTCAAACTTTCTGTTTCCAAAGTGCAGCCAATCAGAAGAAAGCTGGCTTTTGTTAGTGGTTTTTGAAAGAGTGAGGCAGGCCCTGTCAGTGGAGGATTAAACCACTGTAGGAGGAATATGCAAGGTAACTAAGTAAGATTAAAGTGATATTTGTGGGAAAAATACACCAAAAACCCCCAAAACAGACAAACAGACCAAAACTGACCATTATTCTCATTAAAGTGTAGCTTTGAATATATTTATAGGTGAGGCATGCCAGAAAAAAACCCCAATAGTTACAGTGAAACGCTTAATCAAGGTCCAGTATAAGAGAAATAAAGATGATTCTGAACCGTGAATCACAACTCAAGTCCAAGATTAAAAACATGGAGCTGCAGTGGACTGTAAGATGTCCCTTTAGTGGGTTGATTTAAACTTTACTTAACAGTTATATTAACATTACTGTCAGTTGATCAGCATTAAGGGTCAAACTGTTGTTTACATATGTCTGTTTCCATAAAAAGAAAAATATACTTAACGTTATAAAGAATATAAGTTTTCCACCCCTGGTCTAAACAGCGTCTGAACAATCTAGCCACATTTTTCTGCAGCTAAATAACATTTAACAATATTAATAAATTGAACACGGTGTTGGAAAAACAGCTGGTTAGCAGTTACTAAAAATAAATTTTCTATTGATCAATTAATTGACTAATCAGTGAAGACCTACTGTGATGTGCTGAAATGAAGCCAGTGGAAGGAAGGAAGGAAGGAAGGAAGGAATCCTTAAATGACCTTTTCAAAATAAGACTCAGGCTCTCTTTCTATCTTCTATTTGTGTTTCAGATCATCAGCTGACCTCTTTTTTTTTTTTTTTTCCTTTTTTAAATCAACAACACTGATGGAGAAAGTGGATGAGGTGTCCTGTTGCCCTCTGGGACCTTCATCATGGGTAAAGAAACCATCACTTCCTCTCAAAGTGCACTCATGCAAGAGCCGGTACCGACAGACCCAGGTTCAATATTCTTCTCACATTTTGTTTTACGTCTTCCATATTTTTGTTAGCTCTTCTTATAAAATAAACATAAAAACAGAAACTTAGAGGTTAATCTATATTTCATGTCTCTTCTTGAAAGTGGAGCCGGTATAAAAGCAGCATTTTTTTTCCTTTGTTTTTTTTTTTTTTTTAAAACACAGTAAAACACGAGTCCTGGATGAGGCGTTTCCTCACCTACTTCCCTCCCTTTTACAGTGAGGGTGCGTTAGATTTATCCTCCATTTCAGAGTGACAGGCCTCCATCACAAGCTTCAGAGTCCTGCACAGAGGAAGCACATGTTTTTCAGATCCAGGCAGTCCGGGCGGGCGGATAGGTGGTGTTCCCCTCCTCTGATTCCTGAGCTGTGGTCTCGATTTTACCAGCTGGGACTCGCCTTAGAGGTAAAACATGCATCCTCTGAGTGTCGTTAAGCTTCAGACTCACCCTTCTTCTTCCCCTCCTCTCCAGCGTCACTGTCCTCTGACTGGCTGTTGCTAAGCACTAGGAACTGTCCGTCAGAGCCAGGCGGGTTGGCCGGGCGACTTGATGCAGCGATCAAGCGGCTCTGCTCCTCCAGATCCTGCAAGTCAGTCAAGAGAAGAAGAGTGAACTTTTTCTTGCGCGTGGTGTTGTTTTCAGCATTTGGTGGCAGATGGAGCTTTTAATGTCAATGGGGCAAGTGTAAGACCTGGACTGAGAATGTGTGGAAAAAGACTTCAAAGACCTTCAAAAAAAAGCACAGTGAACTATAAAGAAGACATCTGACAACCGCCACAGTACCCTTAATTACAAGTTTATGTGATTTGACGACCAATACAAAAGAACCACTTGAAGGGTAACTCCGAGGGGTAAAGAGTTAAAATTGGCTCCATGGATGCAAACTACAAAGAAAAAAAATGGTGGCTGAGACTTTTGCACAGCAGTATAAATACATGTTTTCATTCATTTAAGTCAGACAAAGCAAAAATGTCTTTAAGTGATAAACCCCAAAGTCCAACAAACTCACAGACTAATCAATTAAAGTGGTGATGATGGGGTCATAACACATGTTTACAATGTATCACAGACTAAAAACACCCCCTGGCTGCTCGGCATACTCTGCACATTCGTTATAACATGGGAATAATGCAAGGTTTGTGTTGAAAGGTAAAAAAAAAAATCACCTTCTCGATCTGTCTTTGCTTGCTCAGTTCCTCCTTCTGTTTCTCTTTGGCCTTATCCTCCTCCTTTTTCTTCTCCACCGCTTTACGGTCCTGCATCACAAGAGCAACAATAAGAAAACAAGTGTAAACATCCACAGCAACACATGAATGACCCCGGTTACAGTCTCACCATCTCCGAGTGCAAGGCGATCTGCTTGGCCAGACCGATGCTGTCACAGATCTGAAAAGCATGAAGAAGACAGACGATCAGACAGAAAGAAGGATGTGTTACACCGCCAGCCAAACAGATAAACGGACACACAACCTTCTCTCCATCGTTGTTGGATTCAAAGATGTAGCACATGGCTCGGCTGTCGCTCCGCCCGCTTGCCGACTGCAGAACAAAACCAAACAGCCTCTTGTTGTCCTGATGGGACAAACACTGCACCACGGTGGAGAGAGGGAACTGCAGCGAGACACAGCGGGATGCCAGTTAGCAAAGACAAAAGTGACACAACTCAAATCTTAGAAACAAGACAAAACTGGAGAAACTGCGGTCACCGTACCCTGAGTCGCGTCACTTGTGTCTGAGGATCAATTAGCCTGAAAAAATAAAAGACCTATTTTAATATAAGAGGATAATTGCAATTTATTTCAAGCTGGCATTTTATTTTATCTTTTGTTGAATGTGGTTCCTGTGGCTCATGCTTGCTTTGCAAAAAGAAGTTAGTCACACAACAAACATCGGCTTCATCCAACACGCTCATAATGATCACTGCAGTTCCTACTTGAGGCAGTCGCAGGTGACCAGCAGGTGGGACTCGGTCATCCTGAAGATGTTGTGGATGGCTCTGGCAGCCAGGATCTGCCTCATGGTCTCAGAGATGACATCCACTGACTCGGCAGTCTTCACCTCCATGGAGCCCAGGAAGCGAACGATAAAGAGCTGGTGGAGGATCGAGTCTACGCAGCACAAAAACCAGAAAAAAACAAAACATACTTCATGTATGGCTGTGGTTCCACTCGAGTTGCGTAAAAGCTGATTCTTTGGTGGTTTAAATGTACTTTTCTAATAATTAAATCACTTTAAATTATTTTAAACTGGTTGTAATTATGGATAATAATGGAAATAATAAAACCCATTATAATCTAAATAAATACGCAGTTTAAACCTTTTTTCTACATGAGTTATTATCCTGAATACAATAATCTCAGAATCCCAGTTATAACATTAACATGACCTCTGCATAGTCGTAAATGTCATTTAGAAGATAAAGACGTACGTAAATAAATAAATAAATGAATGAATATTGATAAAATAGTCGAGACAGACAGACATGAGTACCTTCACTGTCTTCTGCTGTGCTCTCTCCTGACTCCCCAAATGGATTACTTCTCCTGCAGAGAAGCACATAAACACACAAAACAGTCATATTTTCATAGCTTCAGATATATCTGTCTTCACATTATTAGTTTAGTTAGCTTGCTTTTTGTTCTGTCATTGCATGCTTCACAGACCATGTAAACAGTAGATATAGGCAGAGCTGCTTGAACTCTAATATTCACAAGCACTGTCTGCAGCACATGCAGCACAGAACCTTCAAATCTGAGCAGATGGTGCTGCGCAGTCAGGCGGTATCGCCACGTTATGATGCCGGCTAGTTTGTGAAACACATGCTGGAAAGTTAAACAGTGATTCATCATTTTCCCTGACAGACACGTACCTGCTGGACTGCGGTGCTGTTTTGCTTTGTCCTGAGTTCTCCTCACTGACGGGGGAAATTATGTCAAACTGGATGGGTGTTTCTGGGGCAACCAGTGCATCCAGTGAGAGCACAGAAAGAGCAGGCGATGGCTCGGAGCCCACGGAGCTGATGCTGCTCGCTCGACCCGTTCGCCCCTTACTGGATGGGAGACGAAGGGAGAGAGGGAGAGAAAGAGGATGATGACAAGGCTCCGTAATGAAATCTGGACCACCTGCGGCCCTACTTCAATAAATCATGGAAGCCGATAGCAGGTTGTGAGGGTGTTGGTAATCATTACTCTCACCTAAACTTAATTTTGAAAAAATCTGAACCCTCAAACAGAGAGGACAGGTAGAAATACCCAGTCTAAAACTCAAACTAGTTTGACAACCCACTCACCCACACACACTCCTACCTGGTGGGTCTCATGCTCTCGTGTCTCTGCTGAAAGGACGGTGATGGTGTCACGGCTTCAAGAGCGGATTGGTTCACTCTGGCTGCAAGCTCCTGCCAACAAGAAGTAACTAGGAATTACTGTGATCATCTGGTTTCTAATAGAGAGGTTTTTGCTTCTGTACGTGCCAAGCTACTGTGATTTATTACTGAAGCCTGCTTGAAGTCTAGAAATTGTGCATTGGCGTACTGTCGCACAATTACAAAAACCTTGTGGGAAGACAGATATTAGATCAGATCTTCATTACCAGTACCTTGTGCCAAATAGTCAAATCAAAGTAGTTTCCTCAGAAAATCTATAATCTCCCATGCAAAGAGTTTAAGGTCTTCTGCACTATCTCACAATATTGATGCTGATATTTTACAACACATACTTCCCTGGCTAGACTACAACTAAAATAGCTGCCAAAGGTATACGACAGTGAACGGTAAGCAACATGAAAGTCGATAGAAGAAGGAAGCAGACACAAACCTCTGCATTTTCACTCAGGTAGATCCTCCTTGAGATGTTGTTGATGGTGGAGATCCACTATTGGAGAGAGACAACATCAGAAAACAGCAGCAAACTCAAAGGAGGCTTCATAAAGTTAGAGTATTTTACCTCCTCGCATTCCTTCCTGCTCTCCGCCTGCAGCGTCACCACTCTGACATAATAAAGAGAAGAAAATGATTTTTATTTTGACCTAAGAATTACAAAAAAAGGGGCGGGGCTGGGCACATATGAGAAGAGAAATATAAAAAAGGACCTCTCACTTTTTCCCATCAAAGGAAGTGACCTGAAAGCAGAATCGGCGGTCGTCACAGTCAACGGCCATGACGGAGGAGTTGTCAAGGTCTGTGACCAGCCCGCCCGCCACCTCTCCCCGGCCCTGTTGCATCAGGTTTCCACCCTGTGTAAAGAAGTACTGTCGCTCCCAGGATGATGACACTAACCCAGTCTTACTGTGAGACAGCAAAGACACAAAAAGGATTTCACAGTGTTTACAGTCAGGGATCAAACCACCAACCTTCCAATTAGCAGATGACCCCCTTTACCTCCTGAGCTACAGTCACCCGAATAAGAGATGCACAATGTAAACACTGTTCTGGGTCTGTAGGTGAAACAGGATTAAAGCTCACTAAGAAATAAAACACTCAAGTCATCCTGTGGCTTACTTCCGGATGTACAGGTAGCCCTGCTTCCTGGTCAGGTTGCGACACACAGGTGAGTGGGCGGGGTCGGGGTCACATGGTGCATAAAGGGCATCACAAGCCCTCTCCATCTCCTGGATGGTCTGTTGCATCTGCCCCACCTCCTCCTCCATTTCCCGGCGTACACTATACATACATTCACATGTTCATTGTCACTCATTGCTAAAATCTTCATGTCTCCACATGTCTCCACAATTAATTAACAGTTTGGGGATGAAGGAGTTCTTACTTCTGGACACTGGTTCCTATAGTTCCCAGGAACTCTTCCCACTGCTGGGTGAGATTTTCTGACCCCAGCTTAAAGAAACTGATCTGAGGAGAACAAAAACAGGTTGGTCACTTCAGAGCTGACTTCAAATAAATGTGACTCGTCTAACAGTCACTTTCCTTTGCACTGCAGCACAGCAGCAGTCTGAGGTTTCTCTCTGCTACCAGTGAGCAGTTTATGTTGTGTTCTGAGGGACTCTTCCATTTCCATTCCAATTTTCCAAAGCTGTAAGACCGTTCAATGAATATTTGATGACAAATTGTAGCATTGCATGATTAAAGCTACAAAGAAATATTAATCTTACAGCATCTGTTTTGCTATGACTGTTTACAAAACAGGGGGCAGCACAGTGGTTAGCACTATTGCCTCACAGCAAGAAGGTCCTGAGTTCAATTCCACCATGAGGCTGCGGTCTTTCTGTGTGAAGTTTGCATGTTCTCCCTGTGTGGTGTGAGTGTGAATGGTCTATGTGACCTGTCCAGGGTGTACCATGCCTCTTGCCCTAAGACAGCTGAGAAGCGGCAGAGAATGGATGGACGTTTACAAAATGCAGCAAAAACTAGCTTCTACAATGATTTCAGCAGTACTTAAATACCACACTATCCCATATTCAAAACATTCACAGTTTTCTGCATCTTTTCACACTGTTAATCTCCTTTGCAGAAACTCTGTCTCCCCCTTCTGGCAGTAAAGGCAAACCATGTTTGTTCTTGCCCTCATTCACCGGCTGTGGATGACAAAAGTTTTCAGAATTCCTAACTGAGTGAAGTTACCTGGAAGTGTGTGTGTGGTCGTCACAATAAGAGCTCACTCCTTAGTGCTTCCTTTGTTACCTCCTTTAGCAAAGGATACACTGAATCATTCTTCGTGAAAGTTAAGGAAACAAAATGAGTACCTATGCCACATGTAAAATGCACTTTCTTTTAGTCCATATTTGGGGCATTTTAGTTTAAGACCCACATCAACAACATCCACCATCAGATTAAAAAGTCTGACTCTAAGAGCACCACAGTCTTTTCCTTTTCTTTAAATTTTCCTTCATATCCTTCTCTGAGCTCAAAGCGTTTTCCATCGAGTTTCTTTCCTGTTATAAACTATTCTTGGATGCTTCCCACATGTTTTAGACTACTTGACCTTTGTTGCTACAGGTCTTCCCCTATTCAAGCCTGATTACAATGTGTCACCACTAGTGCGCATGTGTGTGTGAATATCACCTGACATGAAACTGTGTGCTCCAAAATACACAGCCTGCACTGATAGTGCAAAAACTTCAATGAAATCAAACTTAATTTATTCACATAAAAGTTCAGCAGTCAGGCTTAAAATGTCTGTCAGAATTGTTTTGCAGGATTACCAAAGAATTTCAAAGCTGTTTCCAAAATTCCCAGAATCAAGCAGGGGGATTAACATTTTGCCAAGTTAAAGATTTGATGTGTATTTCACACTGTTCTGGCTTTTTGTGGGGGAAAAGAATTTCAGACCTGAGTCAGATATGGAATCCAGTTAACGTTTGGTTAAGACCTAATGTTGGATTTTTGAGGTGCACTAGTCCCATCTCTCTCTCATCACCCCCAACCACTTGCAGCAGATGGCTGCCCCTTCCTGAGCGTGATTTTCCTGAAGTTTATATATGTGAACTGAATTACTCTGCAGTAAAGGCGTGCACACCTGTGCCTGCATGTATCCCAGCAGTGGCTCCAGCAGAGCTGTCTTCTTCTTGTACTGCAGAGTGTTCAGTGAGCAGAAGTAGTGCATCATTGTCTGGTGTTGTTTCTTGCGGGAGGTGTAGACATCCTCCACCACCTCCGCCCGTAACTGCAAAACACGAGACTCTTATTTCAGTAAAAAGCAAGATAACATTATTCACTCGCATAATATCATTTGGTCTTGATAATCATCTAGGAAGCTGCTGCTTTGAGGAATGTGAAACTTGATGAGAGACTTTTTAAAACAACCCAACCCCATCTATCATTGCAGCTGCATTTCCACACAGTCATCACTTCCTGTAACTTTAATAAAAATACTACTGAGGAGTTTTTGCTGTTGTTTTTTTTTTTTAAATACAGCAGATTCTGTAAAATTATTTTTATAGAAACCAAAATAGAGACCAAAAATGACAGATTTGCTGGTATGACCAAAAATTACTAATTTAATGAATAAACTTCAGTGATTTGGAAGTTTGAGGGAAAACAGAGGAAGCATTTAGGTCTTTCAGTTCCAAGTTCATACCAATATGTCTTTTTGAAAAAGCACAATGAGTGTGCTGAACATGCAAAATATGAAAATTATCCACAGACTCCTGCAGCTGTATTTAAATCATAAAAGCAGCTTCTTCTTATCAGCTTCTATCCATCTAACTGTGGATGTTTTTACAGTTAAATAGAAAACTTTCCAGACTATGATTTACCATTTACGGACATGTAAAATAAAACCATTACCACGAAAGTCAATGTATAGTTTGAGGTATGAAGTCATGAATGGTAAACCTAAAAGCTGTTACCTTGTCGTTCTCCCTCCTTTTGGATAAGCGACTGTATCTGTTAATCGCCACGTCGTGATCTGCACACAGAGACACAGAAAAGATTTTTAATAGTAAAATATATCTTGCCCTCTTAATAGTTAGAAAACCTGAAACTGCCTGAAATGCACACTAAAAATACCTAAACAAACTAAATTTCACAATTGCAAGTAATTTAGCTTCTATCTGTACCATTTCAATAATTTTTCTTTTATATATGGGCCTAAAATTTAAGATCTAAAGTTAAGTATTTACTAGATCACAAAAGATTTAAATGAAAGCTGAGATGAAAGCACTGTGATATACAGAGTTCAACTGCTGCAGTGTTGTTTGGGGAGTGATAACACGAGATATATCCATAGTTAAGGACAGACATGAAGGTTTACTACATAATAGTATTGTTTAATTCTATACAAAATATATCTGACTGACTGAAAACCAGTATGAAAAACTGGGGAATTTCTGTGAAGTAGGATAAAAACTTAATCTCATGTGTCGGCAACTTTTTTCCCCCTCCAGAGGGCCATACTGCCAAGATCAAATGGAAACATGGTTAGAGGTTAAATGAAAGTACTAAATGTTAAATGAACATTTATATAAGTCTTGTCAACTGTATGATATGAACTGCTGCATTGCCTGAATTAAACAGCAGTAAAGTCTCACTGCAGTGACTGCCCAAGAATTATACTGCCTCTTACGCTAATTTTCAAACACTGCGGGTCAGAAACAAATGGCTTTATATTGCACATGTGTGATTTATCTAGACATAAAGTATATGTAGTATAAAAGTACTGAACCACACCTCTAAATGTTTGAATTCAGGAATTTTCTGTCCAATTTCCACAGATGTATAAAATCAAACTGTTTTATAAACATTTGTGAAAGAATGGGTCATTCTAAAGAGCTCACTGCATTCGAGCATAGCAGTTTAATAGGAGCCACCTTGGCAATGAGTCAGGTTATGAAATTTCTTCCATCCTAGATATGCTATTATCAGCTGTAAGTGGTATTATTACAAACAGGAAGTGTTTAAACCACAGCAAATTCGTCACAATGTGGCAGACGACATAAAGTTACAGAGCGAAGTCGGCATGTGCTAAAAGGTAGAGCACGTAAAAGTCCCAATCACTCTGCAGAGATCCCAAACTTCTTTGTTATTAATATCAGCACAAAACCTGCCAGAGGCTTCATGGGAAGGGCCTTCATGACTGGAGGTGCAATGCAAGCGTAATGTGTAGGCAATAAAGTGCACTGACTGTAGTTTATGAGGTACAGCTTACCATCACTGGCTATTTGGAAGACTTCTTTAAGAGTAAGGATCTCTGAAGAGACAAAAAAAACTCACATTAGAGAGCAAAGTGCATCTGTTTATGTAGCAAGGGCTGCTGCTTCAGATTAATTCTACTACCATAAATATTAAATATTAATATTGAAAGTAAACAACTAACATAGCAATGCAGAAAATAATTTACAATATGTGTCACTGTTGATGGCAAAATAAAATTAGTAAACTGAAAATTGGCATTATGCATTATTAACGTCTCTAAAACAGTTTCAAAACTGGGTGAAAGAGCTTAAAGTGTTTTCTACCCTTCAGGTCTCGCTCTTTAAACTGAGTGATGGGGAACATCATGGCATCAGCAAGCTGGGTGGACAAGACAGCATGACAGGAGCTGAGCTAGAAAGAGGAAGAGAAGGAGGAAGTTAAAATCCTAACCATGAATCAGATGAACAAACACAAATATAAAACTAGTTTTTCTTATTCTTTTTATTTTGCACCAAATTTGCCTGTTCAGGACATCAAAACATGCAAACCTAACTCACTTCATCGATGACTTTTGCAAACTGTTGCAGAGTAGAACTCATCACCTCATCATCACCCCCGAGAGGAAAACGCTGCAAACAACAGCAACAATAAGGAAACATTACACAGCTGAGATTAACACATAGATTTCTGGATGTAATTAAAACCGCTAATATTTTCTATTATGGTAAAGAAAAAATCTGAATAATGCTGATCCAAAGCTGTTTCTAAATTTCACAGAGGTGTGGTAAAGGCAGATGTGTGTGAAGTAACAGATAAGAGGCTCGTTGTTACAGTATTACGGTTAGGGTGATAAGTATAATGGATGGTATTACAAGGCTGACATTTAGTATTTTATTGCCCTTTTTTAAGGGTCTATTGGTATAACGAAGATAGGCTGTTATAACAGCAAGGCTCTTATTATACTGTGTGGCCTGTGGCTTGTGTGATAAGACTGGGAAGCCACACCAAGCAGTGCCAAAACCTGCAGTTCTCCCAATTGACCACTTAAAGCTAGCTCCAAAAATGTTTTTCAGAACAGTGACTTCCAAAAAAGCAGAGCATTCTTAGGGAAATGGGGGTA